CCCCGGGGGCCGTGCGCTGCGTGCTGGGAGAGCGTGGGCGCGTGCGGGGCCGGGCGGCTCCATACTGCGTGGCGGAGCTCACCACCGGCTCAAGCACGCTGTGCCCTCTGCCCCCGCAGCCCGGCCTTGAGGGACCCCCGGGGACCTGCAAGCCAAGCAACCCGCAGCCTCTTTCGGGCCCGTGCCGGCGGGGTTGGCTCCGGAGCGCAGCCGCGTCCCGCCGCCTGCAACAGCGACGCGGATCTCAACCGGAGACCCGCACTGGCGACGACGACCCGCACCGGCTCCTGCAGCAGCTCGTGCTCTCGGGAAACCTCATCAAGGAGGCGGTGAGGAGGCTGCATTCGCGACGGCTACAGCTACACGCAAAGCTTCCCGCACACCCGTTCATCGGGCCTCTGTCGGCCCCGGTGCACGAGCCGCCTTCTCCCCGGAGCCCTCGAGCGGCCTGCAGCGACCCTGGTGCTTGCGGGAGGGCGCGGCTCAGAACTGGGGACGACCTTCTTGTCCCTAGCAGCTAACAACCAGGGTGGCCACAGCACCAGCCTGTAGCTGGGGACCAAGAGATTCACCCAGGATCGCACCGGACTGGTGGAGGACTCGAGCATTTGAAAACGGGATAATAAACTAAGAAATACTGCCGGAAAACCGCTATTATTTTCATGGGGTCACTGAAGTTGAGACCCCCAAACTGTTTGAAATACAGGACTTAGGCTTGTTTAAAGCAGATTTTATAGAGCACACCGCAGGCTGTCAGCAGGACTCCTTTTTTCGCAGAATCCAACCTCGTCGATGCAATTTGGCGCAGACTGCGGGGCAATACGGCGACCACGTGGCTATGGTGCATGCTCTCAGGATCGGCCAGCCGTGGTGGAACGAGGGACGATGATCACAGTTATATGCTGTACTTTTCAGGGCTGCTTTCTGATCCACTTTGGGGGAGGGGGGGACAAGAGTGGATGTAATTTCGGGGAGCACCCCAAAATGCTACACTTGAACATTTTATGGCAGTTAAAAGACCGTCTCATATCTTTTGCGGTGCTGGTTTTAATGTAAAACATGCGGTACCACGAAAGGACCCTCATGGGGCTAAATAGAAGTAACTTTTTTTTTTTTCCCTGTCTGTCCCCTTTTTTGCAACTGGTTGCTGTTAGCGGAGTGTTACCGGAATGTTGTACCACAAGTGGGGGTGGGAGGCGGCAGTGAGCGGTGTTGGGCCATGGAAGGGTATGGCGAAGCACGGATTGAACTCTCCGGCCTAACAAGTGTTTTTAAAGGCGACCCGTCCCTCCTTCGGTCAAGGTCACTGTTTCCTGAGTGCACCATGTTGTGGGGCACCGGCACAGAGACTAGCTAGAAGAGCGCACTGTTTTGCAAGTGCTGGAGTCCCCTAAGGACAGCGCGCCACCTCCCGGAGGTGGGGGTGCTGAGTGTCTCTGCTTCCCGCCCGGGGCCACCGCCCTTGCCCTTCTCTTGGTCTGCACAGAAACCGCCTTGAAACAGTGGCCCCGAGTACCACCTTTCCCCCTCGGCTCTGGGGCCCTACCCAAGCGGAGTGGCGCTGAGGGTCCTAGAGGCCAGGGAGGGGGGTCTAAGGAGGCTCCACACAGCCGGCACTCCTTGGACACAGTTTCACACAGCCGCTTATAATAGGCTCTCGGGGCCGTTTGTAATAACAGCTGCAATTCCCTGGATAGAGGGAGTTGATTTCCTCCTTCTGACCCTCCCCCAGCAGTGCCAGCTCGCCTTTGTAAGGGAAGGAAACCGGGTAGAAAATGTGACCCTCCAAATGGAAAAGCTGCAGGCTTTCTGCTATTGTGACTGTGAAGTGCTTGGAAATACTGTTCACTCCGAGCGACCGTTTCGTTTTAGTTTTATGGAGTCAATGGCTTGTTCAGCCTCCAGATGTGGCTATTGACGAATCTACACTTCGCACCGAAGTGACTGGAATTGTGGCTGTCCTGATTATAGGATTTTAACTTAACTGAAATGACTGTTTTTGAATAAATGTGTTGGGTTTTTTGTTCGCTTTTATTTTGTACTTTCCTCCAGTGGGAAAGATGTACAGCACACATTTCTCTGATCTCCATAAACATGAAAACACTTGAAATCCCTGTCAGCCTGGCTTGCGGATGGTAATTAGAGGCCTTTGTGTCTGAGCAGCTCACTAGTTAGACGAGGTCTGTGCAGCTGGGTGTGTATCGGTGCTGGCATGAAATTAAATGAAAGTGAGGTCAGGTTTTGGATCAATCCCATTCACCAACCCTCAGAGCCTATGGGTGGGTGTCTGAGACAGCAAAGTCTTAGGAAGATGCCTGACAGTGGAGGACGTCAGAGCGGCAGTCTGAGATGCTTCCTGCCCCTCCCCCTCCCCTTGGGGTGCCATTAAGTGGGCTGTTGATCAGGAGCTACTCAAGATAGGAACCTGAGAGTAGGAACACTGATTGAGATCTTATTAAATAACACCTCTCCCTTTGCTCTTAGCACATTTACTATCATTCTGTCCCAGCATTGACACAACCACCCATTTCTGTTCCTTTCTGAAATACTTCAGTCTGTTCCCTCAAGGAAGGAGCTGAGCTGGGTGACGGGGTGCCTGGAGTCTTGAGTCCACTTATGAAGTGGGGAAGGGACCTTGGAAAAGTGTAATTCTGTGGCTTTTCCATTCCCTCGTCTGTGTAGCAGGGGCAGTGAGACTCTGCGTGTGATGGCTGCCCAGCATGTACTAGAGAATGCCCGGGGGACCTCAGCCCTTTCTTTCCAGAACTGGCTCTAAGTAGCTCAGTGACTGGGGTCCTCATATTTTCATTCAACAAAATCCTGCTCATTGGGAATGCTCGCTGTCTTGTGTCCTAGTTGTCAACTCTTTTGACTCGATGTACCGTTACATCTTAAATACATAAGACACAGTCCCTGAGGGGCACCTTCTGAACACCAGCAAGGGGAGGGTGATTATAGAGTCTCATAGACAAGAAGGGGCCTCTGCAATGCCGTGCTGAGCATGGGTAGACAGTGGGCCAGGCCTCTGATGTGGGCGTAGCCCTGAGCCTCTCAGCCAGAGTTCTTAGTTATGGACGGAATTCTCAGAGATCTAGGTCTGAGCAGTCCAGAGCTTTCTCTCCAAACTGGCCACAAGTGAATGCTAATGCACAGAAGAGCTGGATTTTTTTTTTTTTTAATTGGTTTGAGACAGGATTTCTCTTTGTAGCCCAGGCTGTCCTGGAACTCGATTTGTAGACCAGGCTGGTCTCGAACTCTCAGAGATGTCTCTGCCTTTGGAGTGCTGGGATTAAAGGCGTGCACCACCACTGCCCAGCAAGAGCTAGATTCTTATAGTAAGAGTGTTGCCAAGCATGGTAGTTCATGTTTGTATCCCAGCACTTAGAAAGCTGAGACAGAAGGATTGCTACAAGTTCCTGGCCAGCCTGGGCTACAGAATGAGACCATGCCTATAAATAAATAAACAACCAGAGCTCACCCTGGAAAAATGAAACAGAAACTAGGTTTGGTACATGCTCATAATCCCAGCACTTGGGAGGAGAATCAGGAGCTCAAGGTCATCCTTATCAGTTGCATGTTGGGGCCAGCTTGGGCTACATAAGACCCTTTGCTTCTAAAGGAGGAATGAGGAAACTAATAGATAATATGCTGAAGTACTTAAAATGCAGTATAGTTCAATAAACCTTTTTATAAAAAGTCCTGCCAAGGGCAGAGGACCTAACTCAATGGTAGAGCTCCTGCCTAGAATATAGACAGCCTTGAATTCCACAAACACACGCTTCTGCCAAGGTAAGCACAATGACATGCACATACTTCCAACTACTCGGAAGGCTGAGGTAGAACAGGTGAGTCAGCCCTGGAGTTTGTTTGTGTCTTTAAGATTTATTTTATTTCTTGCCTGAATGTATATATGTGAGCTACAACCATACTGGTACTCTCAGAGGTCAGAACAGGGGTTCAGATCCCCTGGAACTGGAAGTTACAGACGGTTTTGAGCCACCATGCAGATGCTGGGAACCGAATTCAGGTCCTCTGCAAGAGCAACAATTGTTCTTCACCTCTGAGACACCTCTCCAGTCCCCAGCCCCGAAGTTTGAGACCAGCCTGGGCAATATGGCAAGACCCAGGCCATTTTTTCTCTCTACATTCTAAGGTTTCTCAAAAAGTACCTATAGTTAATAGAAGGTAAGTAAATAAAAATTACAAATCTTGCCAAGTTCTACTACTCACCCTTGAATCCTTTTTTAGAATAGAATAAGTCAGGATTCATATACATGATTAATGTTAGAACTGTATGTGCTTAGCCAGACAGTGGCGGTGCACACCTTTAATCCCAGCACTTGGGAGGCAGAGCCAGGGGATCTCTGTGCATTCAAGGCCAGCCTGGTCTACAGAGCAAGTTCCAAGACAGGCTCCAAAGCTACACAGAGAAACCCTGTCTTGAAAAGAAAAAAAAGAAAGAAAGAAAGAAAGAAAGAAAGAAAGAAAGAAAGAAAGAAAGAAAGAAAGAGAAAGAAAGAAAGAAAGAAAGAAAAGAAAAGAAAAGATATCCTTGCATGCATTGACCAGCAGGCTGAACCCCAGAGTTTTGTGGAAATGAAGCAAGTACTCTACCACTGAAGTATACCCAACCACATTAGAGCCTTCTTTAGCTATAACAATAGCCCAGGAACATGGGCAGGACAGAGTGAGTCTCTTAAGTAACTGATTAAGTCTATCAGACTAGAAGCCAAACTTCTGGGCTCCCAGTTCAGGCCTCTGTCCTCCCAGGTGCTCCACACCACCACAAAGGGTCCAACTTTGTTGACTGGGCAAGCCTGCATGTAAATGGTACCTCTGTGGTTGTCCAAATTGGTAACTCTGACATCAGAAACCCTGAAAATTGCTGTCCCAACTACCCAGTTTGAGCTGTGGGGTACCAGGTATGCTGTAACAACTGATTTTCTGAAATAGGGTCTCATGTAGCCCAAGCTGGCCTTCAACTTGCTTCATAACAGAGGATGACTTTGAACTCTTGATCAACCTACCTCAGCCTCCCATGTACTGGGATAACAGGATTCATTGAGTCCTGCAGGTTGAACCCAGGGCCTCATGCATGCCAGGCAAGCATTCTACCAACTGGGCATCTCCCTTGCCCACAGTTCCCCTTTTCTTACAAAATATTCTGCAAACTCTGAAGACAGCTCTCTACAGAAGACGACCAGGTGAGATTAAAAAGCCAAAGCTACAGACTGAATAAAACAACAAAAAAACAAAATTAATCAATTAGTAAATAAGTGTTTGGATAAAAGGCACACAGACCACCCCAAAGTCTGCCACCCTAAGATCATTCTAAACCAGACTTAAATGCTCTTTGAATTCAATTTTTATCTTTTTTTTTTTTTTCAGTTATTTTTCCAGCTCAGAAGCAGGAACATGGAGTGAAGATCAGACAACACTTTCCTATCCAGCAAAGTCTGGGTTGAACCCTGTGATCCCTTCCTTCCAATCGGAAAGGAGTTACCTTGGCAACCAAATTACTAACTCACTCAATTAGCGTTCTCCCCCTTTCCACCAATGCTCAGTAATCACAGAATGTCAGCCCCAGAGAGCTCGGGCTTTGCAGGCTGGGGGCTCCCGCCTCATCTAGATGGAGGTGCAGCCCACAGGATGCTGTGAAAGCTGGTACAGGCAAAGAAGAAAACCCTCCCGGGCAGTGTTCCCATCCATATTTAAAGGGAGTGCAAATGGCCCACCCTTAACTGTGTCTCCCAGACACAGGAAGCAAGAGCTGGGCTCAGCAAACAGTCCTCTGAGGCTACCTGTGTGCTTTGGGGCAGGGTCCACAAGCTCATTATGTCAATAATTCATCTGCACAATGGGTAAGCACAGAGCCTAACTTGTGGAACTGTGGGAGATAAGGATCTTGGGCAGCCCAGGCTGACCCTCACTCTCTACAGCCAACACTCACCCTGAATTCCTAATCCTCTTGCCTCTACCTCCCAAATCCTGAGATTGTAAGCATCCACCACTACTTCCGGCTCAGAAAGCTATTATATAAAAGCACAATTTTGAATCTTTTGTAGAAAAGCCTGTCTCTTAATGACTTCTTCAAAATCCCTCTCCCTCTCTCCTCCTCTCTCCTCCTTCCTCCTCCTTCCTCCTCCTCCCCTGTCTACCTCTTCCCCCTCTTGCTTGTGAGGCCTCATACATAGATTGTATCACAGAGTATATACCACCGACCCTGATCTCTCTTACAAGGCACAGAGAATCGAGGGCTGGTAGGATGTCTCAGTGAGTAAAGGTGCTTACTGCTACACTTGACAACCTGAATTCAATCCCTTAGACCTATACGGTGAAAAGAGAAACCCATAAGTTGTTATCTTGTGTGCTGTGGCATGTGCATGCCCACACACATACACATGAAATTAATTTTTTTAAAAAAGGCACAGGGAAGCCAATGAGGAAATTCACATTAGTAATCCCAGTACTTGGGAGGTGGAGGCAGGAAAATGACAAGGTCAAGGTCATCCTTAATTAATTATTTATTTGTTATCTATTTTTTTATTTGTTTGGTTTTTTTGAGACGGGGGTTTTTCTGTGTAACAGAGCCCTGGCTGTCCTGGAACTTGCTTTGTAGACCAGGCTGGCTTTGAATTCACAGAGAGCTGCCTGCCTCTATCTCCAGAATGTTGGGATTAACAGCATGCACCACCACCATAGGGTTCATCCTCATTTATGTGACAAGATCAAGGCCAGCTTGAGTTACATGAGACCCTGTCTCAAAACACAAACCAAAATGGCAGAGACTGGATATATGGCTCAGGGGTAGCATGCACAAAACTGTCCCTTCTGAGGTCAGACCACTAGATCTCAAACCCAGTTTCACAGTAAAGTGTTAACAGTAGCTGAGACCAAAGACATCATCTAAATGTTCACTCAGGAAAAGGTAGAGATCACCTTCTAGCCCAGCCAGGGGAGCAGCTTGAGGTTATACCTTGTAGAGCTGGGACAGTAGAAACATCACAAGCGAAGGGTAGAGT